ATTACTAAATATAATTACAATTTACAGTTTCAAAGTCAAGCCAATTTTTTCGAACTATAATTACTAAATATAACTCTGTATATTTATATACATTTAAAAATATGTATAATGTTTAAAATAAAATAAATTATCAATATGACTAAATTATATATGTATATATATATATATATAATCACATATATCAATATAACTAATTAATCTCTTCTATATATCTCCATAGTTTGATGGAAAACGACCTTATTTTATGCATTACGTAAACAAAAAATAGAAATAGAATTGAATCCTACGATTCACTCATTTTTTGATTCAAGAGAACAATTCGGACCGTATTTTGTTGAAACTCGTATCAAATTATATGAATCAAATCGGATGATTCTAACAACCATGAATGTAACAGCTAGCACTGAAATGAGACCCCCCAAAAAAAAAGTAGTAGAGAAAGTTGTGAAGAAGATACCTCCTCATTCTGTGGAGGTTGAGCAGTCGATTGTCGTGTTGATGATACTGAATCAGCCTAAAATTGTAGTAAAAGAGAAGTTGGTCCAAAACAAACACACAGATTCCAAAACAAACAGAACAGATCTGTTGGTCCAAAACAAACAAACAGAACAGATCTGTTCGATCGGTGCAGAGATGAGAGATCAGGGAGAGAGAGAGAGAGAGAGAAAGGCTTACCTGTGAGTCGATCGGTACAGAGATGCAAAACCAGAGAGTGAGACTGATGAGATGAGAGAGTGAGGGAGACAGATCAGATCAGATCAGAGAGATCTGATATATATATATATAAAACAAAAAAAAAACAACGATCGGGGCGAGAGAGAGAGATTGAGAGAGAGTTTACCTGTGAGAAGATCGGCGGTGCGATGATCGGTGCGATGAGATGAACAACGAGAGAGTCAGAGAGTGATCGGTGCAGATATGAAGAACAACGAAACGAGAGAGTGAGAGAGAGAGACAGTGATGAGTTGAACTTGAGATGAGACTGGGAGAGTGAGGACACGATTAGGGTTTTTTCATTTTGGTAGAAATTAGGGATTTTGGCTCTAAGAGATTGGGGATTTTGGGGGGCGCGGGAATGGAAGAAAATGGGGAAACCGAGCGGGCGGGATTGAGAAAAAATAATAATAATAATAATAATTTTCAACATAAATGAATATTTAAACAATAAAAAAAATAATAATAATTTTTATTTATATTATAAATGAATATTTAATGAATGAAAAATTATTATTATTATTTTTTATTTGGTAGAAGTAAGGATAATATGTTAATGAAAAATATTTTCTATTAACAGTGATGAGTGAGTGAGAGAGAGAGACGGAGAGAGAGAGAAACAAATAGACAAAGAGAGAAAGAGATAAAGAGAGAGAGACAGAAAAAAAGATAACCAAACACATAATTCAAAACTCTTTTCAAAGCTTAATTTAAATCAATTTTTTAAATGTTTTAAATATTTAAATATTTAAATATTTTTAAAATATTTTAATTTTGTGAGAGACAGATAAAGAAGAGAGATAAAGAGAGACAGAGAAAGAGTGATGAGCGTGAGAGAGAGACAAAGTGGTTGCTAAAAGTGTATTTTTTTATAGTGGATCGATAAATCGAGAAAGAGCTTGATAAATAGAGAAGATGGGAGTAAAAGAGTGAGCAAGGCGAACATAGTGAGGGATAAATAGATAAATAGACAAATAGACAGATAGAGAGAGAAAGAAAAGAGTGATGAGTGAGAGAGAAACAAGGAGAGAGAGAGATAGACAGCGAAAAAGAGATAGAGAATTATGTTTAGAAACAAATGGTCAAGAAATGGCACAATCTTTCTATAACGGAAATGAAGCAACTTGGAAAAACATGAACTAATTTTTTGTAGTAGAGGAAAAGGAGCGGCAGCAGTAGTGAAGGTAGATAAATAGACAAATAGATAGATAGAGAGAGAAAGAAAAGAGTGATGAGTGAGAGAGAAACAAGGAGAGAGAGAGAGATAGACCGAAAAAGAGATAGAGAATTATGTTTAGAAACAAATGGTCAAGAAATGGCACAATCTTTCTATAACGGAAATGAAGCAACTTGGAAAAACATGAACTAATTTTTTGTAGTAGAGGAAAAGGAGCGGCAGCAGTAGTGAAGGTGGTGGATAAGAGATGATGGTGGTGGCGGCGGTGATGGTGATGGCGAAACAGATTAGTGGTGAAGTTGTGGTAGTGGTAGTGTAAATGGAGTGACAGGAGTGAAAGAGAGGTAATGGTAGTAGTAGTGGTAGTGGTGGTAGTGGAGTGGTGGCGATAGTAGTAGTAATGGTAGTCGTAGAGGTGAAGTGGCTACAGTAGAAGTAATGGTGGTGGTGGAATGGTGTTTGCAGTAGGGGTGAAGGTGATAGAGGAGATGGGTGGTGAGAGAGAGAAATGAGTGAGAGACAGATAGAGAAGAGAGAGAAAGACAGAGTGATGAGCGAGAGAGAGATAAAGAGATAAAGAAATATAGAGAGAGATAGAGAGGCAGCGAGAGAAATCGATAGAGAGAGACATATAGAAAAATAGAGATAAACAAGAGATGAGAGAGACATATAGAAAGAGAGCGAAAAGAGATGAACGATAAAGAGAATAGAAAAATAGAAAGATAGAGAGAAAAGAGATGAGCGAGAGAGACAGAGAGAGAAAATAGATGAGAGAGATAGAGAGAAGAGAGATGAGCGAGGGAGACATAGAGAGAAGACAAATGAGAGAGATAGAGAGAAGAAAGATGAACGAAAGACACACAGACAAACAGACAAACAGATAGATAGACAAACAGACAGAGAAATAAGAGTGATGAGTGAAAGAGAGAAAGAGAAGAGTGGTGGTAGTTGAATGGCATTTGCAGTAGTGGTAAATGTGGTAGAGAAGATGGGTAGTGAGAGAGAAAGATGAGTGAGAGACGAATAGAGAAAAGAGATAGAGAGACAGAGTGATGAGCGAGAAAGAGACAAAGTGGTCGCTAAAAGTGCATTTTTTTGTAGTGGATCGATAAATTGATAGGGAGCTCAATAAATAAAGAAGACAGATAATTCAAAACTCTGTTCAAAACTTAATTCAAATCAATTTTTTAAGTATTTTAAATATTTAAATATTTTAAAAATATTTTAATTTTGTGAGAGACAGATAAAGAAGAGAGATAGAGAGAGAGAGACACAGAGATAGCCTCGTTTGTTAGCAATTGTAGTAAACAAACATGAGGGTAGAAGTGGATTTTTACCAAACTCCCCCCTTGAATTCTTTTCCCAACTCCAATGACGTAAATCTTCTATTTGCGTGCCCTTCAATTTTTTTCACTTTCTAGATAGGTCTCGAAGACAATTTTAGGTCAATTTTAAAAAAAGATTTAAAAAACTTCAAAAAATTATAACTTAATCTTAAAGTACTGTTTCACAACAATTACGAAAGTGACGTGTCTTTAACTGTTAGGCCAAAAACACTAATATGGAAAGTGATGAGGCTCATCGTATAAATCAATTACATTTAGATGCTAACCTTTCATTAAACTCACATTTTTGTTGGTCAATAATTTCAAAAGATGATTGTAAAAGTTTGATTAATAATTTGAGTGTGGCTTCTCTACAAGTAAAAAAAAGTACATTACGGCATTGTTGGATTTATGGGGCCATTAAGGATAATTTTTGATAATTTGATTCTTTCAATTTTAAGGTTCTAATATATATGGATCATCTATGAAAAAATCAAGAGAAATTTATGGGCCGATTCTATTGACCAAACTTACTTATCTATAAGTCCTGTTCATTATACATAGCTCTAATTTGAGAGTTTTAAATGGAGCTCTAATGAGGTGGAAGAGAGAGAGACTAGAGAGAGATAGAGACAGAGAGACAGGAAGATGAAAAAATGAATGAAAAGAGAAATGTTATATCAAAAGAGTAAGACGACATTGTTTTTTTTAATTTTTTTTGCGACAGAAAAATACCGTTGAATTTATTCAAATCATTTTGTGACTGTATATATATGAAGCTATCTCAAAACCACAATCACCAAAATCTTTTAAAAATTCACTAAATACCAAAAATACAAAAAAAAAATACCATAATTCAATACATTTTTTTTTTGTATTTTTATGTATTTATTAATTTTTTAAAATATTTTTTCATAATTTTTTTATTTTGTAGATACATCTAAGTAAGGTACATCTAAAAAAAATATTTAAAATTTTAAAAATATTCACTAAAAAAAAAACACGAAAGCCACTTTTTGAGACAGCAGAAAATGCCGTCTCAAAAAAGCAAAGTATTTGCGACGGCACCATTTGCCGTCTCAAAAAAATAGAGCATTTGCGACGGCACTACTTGCCGTCTCAAAAAATGAGAGTATTTGCGACGGCAGAAAATACTCTCATTTTCTGCCGTCGCAAATACTCTCATTTTTGAGACGGCAAGTGTGCCGTCGCAAATAGTTCCGTCTCATATACCTAGTTTTCTTGTAGTGTGAAATTATTTTGAAAACTCAATTCAATTTTTAAAATTTGGGAGTTGAATTAGAAGTAATTCGAGCTTGTATGATGAATCCTTGGAGATATGAACTTCAAATCTTATAAAATTGGCCATTATATTCATGTTAAAAGTTATATGGTGGAAATATGAGTCTTATGATATTAATTACATTGGTTGGAACCAAGTTTTGATTAATCTAGAAAAATTCAGAATTCGGCATGTCTGCTCAAGCGTACCCTGCATTACTAGAGCCCTTGCTCGAGCATTGAAAGTCTCGCTCGAGCGTAATTTGCAAGCAACCAGTACTTTTGCAGACCAAAGGGGTCCGCTCGAGCGGAGGGCCCTGTTTCAGAAATTTTGAAAAGATGTTTTATGCTTCGTTTTCCGTCCTCTTTCATTTCAAAGCACTCTTAGGCATGCATTAAACATTGTAAATGAATTAAAGAACATAAAAGGAGCCTAAGAATGTTAAACAAGTTAAAGAACATAATGAATTGTAATATGACCCAATGTGTTATAAATTATGTAGGGTTAAACGCAAGGACGAATCAAGCACCAGAACATTGTGAGTAATAACTCTGTAAATTTATGTTTAATTACAAGTATTTTCTGACTGATATGATACGATCTGTTTTCTGAAATGCTATTTTATGAATTATGAATGAATGTCCATTTTTCTGAAATGTATTTGTGGCATCCTTAGTTCACGTGGCCCTCGCCCGGGGGTAACAATACCGTGGCCAATATACACGTAGCCCTCGCCCAGGGGTAACAATACTGTGGCTTATATTCACGTGGCCCTTGCCCGGGGGTAACAATACTAAGTCCTATATTCACGTGGCCCTTTCCTGGGGGTAACAATACCATGGCTACTTGCACGCAAGATATGGACCTTTATGGTCGTCGGTACCGACTATACATGTGGGTCTCAAGACCAAATTGATATGATAGCTAAGGGGTGTACCACGTATGATTTTATGCAAAATCTGAATATGAATATGAACATGTATCTGAATCTATTTCTGATTTGAAATCTGAATATGCACAAAACTCTGTTTCCGATAAGAATATGTTTCTGATATAAACTCTGATTTCTAACTTTGTGATGGATATCATTCATTAAAATCCTTTACTCTGTTATTATTCACTGGGCTCTAGCTCACTGTATTATTTATGTATGTAGGTGATCAGGCACGTAACCAGGCTTAGAGGCGAGTGCCTGGAATCTATTTTTGGCAGCCAACTTATGTGCCTCCTGTGGAGGTTCCAGTTATGTCAAGTGGTTATGACCATATGATTAAAGTTCAAGTTTTGTTTTCTTGTTTGTTTAAACAAGTCTTTGTTATTTTGTAAATAGGGCTAAGTCCCATTTTGTCTAATCTGTATATATGTAATGACGCAAGAATGATGTCTAGACATGTATATGAAAATTTTAAAATTTTCGGTTCCATATAAGTCTGTACAGCTCAATGGATGTTGTATATTTGTTATTTGCTTCTGCAAGCCCCTAATATTATGTTATTCTGTCTCAGAGGCCTTCGGTAATCCCATGATTACTGGCTGGTTACGATGCTAAACCTATAGGACGGGTTTGGGTCGTGACAGGTCAGTTCTTATATTAATTTTTTAGACAAAATTCATTTAAATTTTTTCAAAATTACTTGCGGAAAATTTAATTAAATTCAAATTTGAATTTAATTTTTTGTCCTAATTTCTTTCCTCATTTGGTCCATGTCCAATAGGTTCAAAAAGACCATAACAGATTCGGTTGTTGGGCAGTTTCTGAACAGATATATAACTACAGCAATTACCAACAGTTATCTGTCTGAAATAGTGTTGTATCTGTTCAGTTTTTCTTTGTATCTGTTCATTCAAAATTTGTACCTGTTCGATTCAAATATATACCTGTTCGGACAGGACTTTTTTGCATATAAAATACCTACATTTCTAGTAGTGTTGGGGATCTAAAATAGTCTGAAAATTCATTTTTTGATGTCTTATTTTTTGCACTATTGCATATATTCTTCATATTAGTTTTTAGGAATTTTTATAGAGAGTATAGAACACAAAGTTCTAGTTCGCCGGACAAATTTGTTTGGAGTGTTACTACAAATTTGTGAAGATCATTGTATCTTGGGAGATAGACGCCATTTAACTGTAAGCACCGTAGCGGGGCGAATCTGTCTTAAGGGTAGAGTGTCATACACTCGACTTGATCTTTTATTTTTCATTCGATTCGATAAAATAAATTCTGTAAGTTATTTATTTTATTTTGTTTCAATTTATTTTTTGTACACAGAAGATTGTTCCAACAGAATTTTCATGATGCTGAATACCCACGTCAACCTCCATTTTTGTTTAGTAAATCTAGCTTATCTCTGTCAACCTCAATTTAAGTTGTTATTATTATTATTATTATTATTATTATTATTATTTATAAATTTATTCTAAAAGTTAGCTTATGTCTAAAATTAAATAATGGGAACATAATAAAATAATCAAAAAGTCACTACTAAAAAGTCAATTATCATCTATACTTTTCTGTATATCTTTTCATAAAAAATTAAAAATTAAAATAGCTAATTTCTAAAATAACTCAAAAAATGACAAATTAATAATCACGTGACAAAAAAATATAATATATTCTTTATATTGAATGAAAATTAATGTATCATTTTTTTTTGGGGTCTAATTTTAAATATAAGTTAACTTTAAAAATAAACTAAAAAAAATTAAAATATGAAGGATCAAAATAAAAAAAATATATTTTTAAGAGTCAAAAAGTAAAAATTAACCACAAATAAAAGGAGCAAAAGTGTAATTTATCTTTGTTCCTTGGTTACTCCTACACTAGTGCCCTATCGAGATCTCTTCTCTCTTGCTTCGCTGACTTTTATCTCTATCTCTCTGTCTCTCTTAAAAACTAGCACTGTGGGTTGGGGTGAGCGAGCGAAACGGAGAAGAAGATGATGGTGAGATGGTTGGTCCTGGTAGTGGTCATCGCGAGCAGTGCAACGCAGCAGGTGATTGCAGATGCCTATGATCACAGGTACAAATACGGAGATCCAGTCCCGCTCTACGTCAACAAGGTCGGTCCTTTCCACAACCCTAGGTAATCCCATCTTTCTCTTTTCTCTACCACTTTCTCCGATTTCACTTTGCGTTTTGTCAATTTGTCTAAGAACTAGGGTTTTTGTTGTTGTTGTTATGTATGGATGTTTGTAAAGGTTACACACACGCGCACTAGTAGAAAGCCTGTGTGATCAGTATGATCTCAATTAGTAGATCGGCTGCAATTAGTATGATGATCTCAATCCTTTCCCTTTTTTTAAAAAATAAATAAATAAATAAATAAAAAATCTTGAAGAACATTTGCACCAAATAGATCCAGCTATACACTTGAGTCCAACTTAATCTGGGGAAATGAATTAGGTTGTGGAATAAAGTGGGTCTGAATTAAAATGATTAATTTGTCGATAGTAGAGAGGGTGGTCTTGAGAGATGTAGAGATGAGGAATGGGTGTGCTTGGTAAGATAGTGAGAGGGCACATAAGGGTATATGGTATTTTGTCTTTCTACACCACAATTTGTTGACCTCAATTCTTCATGAAGGTTAAAATAAAAATCATAAAGATAAAGAAATGAAATTTGGGATGTGAAGAGCTTACCTTTTGTTAAATTTTGAAACTAGGATGCATCAACATAGAGTGTTTATATTTTGATTGATGAAATTTAGAACTTATTGGTCTCTATCATTTCAATTGCATTACATTTATCCTATGAGTTTGCTTTTTGTGTCAATTAAGGACAATTGATAACAAAGGTTAAATTTTTAACCAAAATTGCTCATGTGCAACGTGTGTGAACATTTTAGGGGCAAATAGTGTTTCCTTCTCTCTCCCCAATTCATCTCTTTCCTATCTCTAACCATTTTTGCCCTATCTAATCACTGGCTACTGTTAAATCTATCACAAATCATCTTGCACAATCAATCCCACCACCACCCCCCTTTTATCACCACCAAACTAGTTTCTCCCCTGCACACCACCTACCACCAATCCACATCCCTCCACCACCTTTTGCAACCACCAAACCACTTCCATACAATAGCTATTGATCCACTCTGCCGTCACCAATGCCCATTGCCATTATCGTAAATCCACTGCAATTCAATGGCTGTTAGTGATCATTTTCTATGTAATGGAACACCATCAAATCCGAACCACTGCCCTCCACAACCACCAAATCGATACCGATACAATGGAAACCCTAATTGATGAAAGTCCGAAATGAGGAAAACCTCAATTGATGCAAACCCCCAATTGAGTGACTGGTGTGTAGTTTGGTGGGAGAGGGCGTGAATGGGTGTTGCAGCCTGTAGTTGGGTCTACAGATTGGCTTTGAGTTGTTGGCTGATGTGGTTTGTGTAGGGAGTGAGGGAAAGGAAAGGGAGATGAGAAACAGGAGATGGAGGTTGATCTTGTGGTGGTGCACAAGTGATGCTTGGTTAGATAGCCGAGAGTGCATTTGGGTGCTTCATTGCACAAGTTGTTGTAGGTGGAGTGAAAGAAAAAAAAGAGAGAGAGAGAGAGAGAGAGAGAGAGATGGAACAAGCTGGGGCAACGCATTCATAGAGAAAGAGAGAAGAAAAGAGTAGGAAGAAAGAAAATAAAATAGAGAGAGATTGAGCAATCGGGGGCAGCGAGAGAAGAAAAGAAGAAGAAAGGAGAGAGAAGAGGAGAAGAGTGGTGTTGGCATGGTGTTTGCAGGTTGCTATAGTGCAACCGTGAAGTTTTTCAAGGGACCAGATCGTTGGTTGGGGTTAGTTGTGGTCAATGAAAAGTTGAGTCAACTCAATATATGACTCAACTCAAGATTGATTACACTTGGTGGGCTGGGCTGGTATAAATTTCTCTCTTTGCCCTTAAAAGTTTATCATGTGTGCTACATGTGAGCGAATTCTGTCAAAAAATGAGATTTTTGCTTTTTTATTGTTTTCATTTTTATTTTAATCATTGCCACCCATTGCAAGTTATTTTCTTCAATTTTGTAATGTGGTTTATGTGGGCTTGAGAGATGGATATGTGTGTCTCCCAAGTATTTTAAGCATGCCTACTATCCACAACATATTTAGTAATTCGAATTGACCGTAAAACTGTGCACAAAACCTATGTTTTATGTATGAAATACTCTATTGGCACTTTGTGAACATCATTTTACCATAGAAAATAAAAGAAGTATATTAAAAAATATGAATATTTTCTTTCAAACAAAAAATATGAATATTTTGTTGTCCCCATGTTCTTGGACATGGGAATTAGATGAATCAGACATTTTGACATGTATTTGCACCCGATACATGTATGAATCCATGTAACATAGATTGTGATTGTCAAACATGTTTCTGACAAGGAACACCGTAGAAGTCTTTGTACTTCTTAGTTAGAATTTTTAGCAATGCTATAAGCTTCTTCTTATTTCTTCCCTTGCTTTTTTCCTTTTAAGAGACAAATTAGCGAAGGAAAAGAAATATGTAATGGACCATAGTATAATAGCACATCTAGGGCTCCTTGTAAAGAGATACAAATAATCAATGTTTTCATAAGTTTGCTAGGAAACTTTTAAACTTTCATTATTAGAATTTTCTTAAAGTAAATGAACACTATTCCAATTCAATTATTTCCTCGCTTCTCATCAAGAGGTCACCGATTGAACCTCGTTAAGCCATTTGATTGTCCTTGTTACGTAAAGACAGTTTTTCCTTTTTCCCTCCCATTATTATAATCTCCTTTTTAGATGTCCCAATATATTGTCCAAAGTTGATGATTAATCATTAAATTTTCTATCATAGCCCTTGTCGTGAAGCAAGTCACAAAATAATAGAATACTAATATAATGGAAATCAATGGACATGAGGTGATTCCCAAATCTGTATGCTTTCTTAATGGAGAAGCATGGATGCATTCAATGTGATTTAAAATCATTATCCTCTCTCATGGCTTTATATAATTTTGGGACAAAGGGAGTACAAATTTCCATTTTTTTCCCTTTAAAAAAGATATTTACTCCCGTAACTACTTGGCCTCATCAAAATTTACCTATGTCATCTAATTGTCTAATAATCGGTGTTTCTTCTGCCCATTTTGTGTGCCACATGATTGAAATTGCCAGTTTTGTCTAATTGCCTAATTCCTGTTCCCGTAGTCTAATTGGATTGTGTTTACTTAGATATTAAGAACTGCCCCAACCAAACAGTGCTATTTATTATTTATTGCTTCATTGGTCCCAAAATATTCACTGTGGAAAGCACGTTGTTCCATTAAATGCGGACATATGCTGTATACCAGTTATTCTGTTTTTTTCTATTAGTTTTCCCTTTTGTTTTGTCTTGGATGTGTAATTTATATTGTTATAGGGTATGGAAATTTAACTACCCCTCTACTTCAAACAGTAAATTTGGCATATTCTAGAAAATGTAATTTGGACTACAATTTTTTTTATGAATTTACTTGTCAATAATAATAATAATAATAATAATTTTGAAAATGAATTCAGAGTTTGCCTTAGATGCTTACTATTCCATGCATGATTGGTTGGATGGAATACATTTCGGGATGAGTGTTTATAGAAAAAGGTCTTTCATCATGAGTGAGTGTTTATATAAAAAAGTCTTTCATCATGAGTTCATCTTAGTGGCATCACTGCCATGTATTCTCTCTCTCTCTCTCTCTCTCTCTCTCATTATTTTTGTGGCATCACTGGCATGAGTTCATCTTAGTACATAGCTAATTTCAAAATTTGGTCCAATATTATTAATTTTTATGAGTTTTTTCCTTTTAGATTTTGTTGGTTTCTGCCTAATGAAAGACTGGTGTTTGCATTTTGAATTTCAGTGAAACATACCGCTATTTCGATCTCCCATTCTGTTCTCCAGGTTTGCTTGGCCATTCCTTTTTATTGTTTTTCTGAAATGTTAATTTTTGTGTCTAGAAGTAAATTATGTTGATGGGATTTCAATTGCAGATGTTGCGGTAGATAAAAAGGAAGCTCTTGGTGAAGTGTTGAATGGGGATCGTCTCGTCACTGCTCCTTATAAAGTTGACTTTTTAGTTGAAAAAGACTATGGAGTTGCTTGCAAAAAGAAACTGACAAAGGAAGATGTTGCTCTGTTCCGTAGTGCTGTTACAAAGGATTACTACTTCCAAATGTACTATGACGACTTGCCCGTCTGGGGTTTCTTAGGGAAGGTTGACAAGGATGGCAAAGCTGACCCCAGCGAGTACAAATATTTCCTATTTAAGCATCTTCATTTCGAGATCCTTTACAACAAGGATCGAGTCATTGAGATTAATGTACGAACTGACCCTAATGCCCTTGCGGACCTTACTGAGGATAAGGAAGTTGATGTAGAATTCATGTACACAGTGAAATGGAAGGAAACACAGACTCCTTTTGAGAAGAGGATGGAGAAGTACTCACAGTCTTCTTCACTACCACATCACTTGGAAATTCATTGGTTCTCAATAATCAATTCATGTGTGACAGTTCTCCTTTTAACTGGTTTTCTCGCTACAATTCTCATGCGAGTCCTGAAGAATGATTTTGTTAAGTAAGGAATATTCTTCATCTATTACTGCCTGTGTTTATACACTCAATTATTTGAAATCTTCTAGTATTGTTTTTTTAGTTACATTTTTTTACATGTAAAAGGTATGCTCATGATGAGGAGGCAGCTGATGATCAAGAAGAAACCGGGTGGAAGTATATTCATGGTGATGTTTTCAGGTTCCCTAAGTACAAGTCTTTGTTAGCTGCATCCATTGGTTCTGGCACTCAGCTATTTACCCTGTAAGTATGTTTTCAAAGTTGTTTTCTTTGTAAGTATGTTTTTGAAGTTGTTTTCTTTGGTTGGTTTTAAACTCTTCTTATGACTAGTTGATGAGCAATTATTTTTCTTCCTTCTATTTATTTATTTTTTTTACTCTTATGAGCACTTTGGTAGTCTTAACTTTGCATTTTTTTCCCAGTACAACTTTTATCTTTGTACTTGCTCTTGTTGGTGTTTTTTATCCATACAACCGTGGAGCTCTGTTTACTGCACTGGTTGTCATATATGCGCTTACATCTGGGATCGCTGGCTATACTGCAACCTCTTTCTATTGCCAGCTAGAAGGAAGAAACTGGGTATGTAGTCATGAGTTTTTCTTTATTTTCTTCTTTTCTTTTTTTTAGACTTGCATTCTTCAAGATATTTTGCTATGATTGGCTAGGGGTTTAGTTAGCTATGTTGTGTAAAATCATGGATGTGTTTTATTTGTGGTAATCATATCCTCCAATCTAAAGAATTTGGCAACATATTTAGATTTCATATTTTATAATATTTCTAATTTGTTCCCTAGGGTAAAATGGTGTTTTGCATGTTACATATACAGTTCAACATGAGCACTTCACTCATTTTGAAGCAATTATGTATTGAAAGGAACATAATGGGGGAGCTTTGCACGTAATTATATAATAAACTTAGATTACCAGACACTCGCTAGGCGCATATCCAAAGGGGTGTCATACACCTTAAGCCATATAACCTGGCTGGATGTCCAAAGACATTTTAGGCTCATATCTTTACTGTTAGCTGGGTGTTATGTCCCAAATGGGTACTTCAAACATTTAGATGAATCCATGTTAGATAGGTGGGTGTCATGATACTTGTAACTTGTGCAATCGTTAACTCTTAGCAAATTATTTCATGTATGATGTTTTTCTTTTTGGTGTAGTAGACAGGCTTTGAGAAGAATATCTTTCTCAAGATCCCCAATTTCTGTTCAGGAATTTTGTTTTTCTTCAAATCTGTGCTATAATTTATTTTGAGCATTGTTAAAGTTACTTGATAAGTATTCGTGTGCGAGGAAGGGGTTTTGAACTCAGAGAAGTACTGTGGGTTTGGATTTTTGACAAACATAGGAGGTTGAAGAGGAAATTCTCTGATTCTTCTCTTAAACTTTATTTGAGACATTGGAGGAGGGAGACCGGATTCTGATTTGGGAGCTTTTGGAAGGAGAATGATGGAAAGTAATGTTTGCTCTCAAATTTCTCTCTTAAGCTTTATAGATTTCTAGTTATTAGGAGTAGAATAATCTCACTACTTTATTTGGAAGCAGGTTAGTTGGAGCTTTTAGCAGTAGTTTGATGAAAGGAGAGAAAAAAAATTCGTCATTTGGAAGATCCAACAATTGTTTATAGAAGAATCCCACTGTTGCATTTGGATAACATAACATAAGGTTCCTCTTACTTTCTCATTCTGTCTTATTGACAAATAGTTTTAAAACAAAGAAGGTTTCTTTTTTTTTTCCCAATAGAGGAAATTGCCTTTCTTTTATTTAATTTTAGAATTGTTCTCCGTGTTGGGGTGGCTTTGCACACTTTCTTATCTTCCATGATGTAATGGCATCAATAGTAGTAGCAGACTCGCACTATGCTATGTTGTAATCATAGAGATATACTTGAGCTAATCATGTTGGTATGTTTTCCAAACATCTATTTTTGGTCACAGTAATTAGAACTAAAGTGACTCAGATTGAGTAGTTGTGGATACTTGGAGAATTTGAAGAGCGACATGGGAAAATGCTAATTGTGAGCTCATGCCAACGTTGTCATCATTTATCCAAAAAAGCTCATGTTCGATTGGAAATGGCCCAACCAATAAAACTCATATCTTCACCAAATTACTTTGCCTAGAAGTTTTCATTTTTTGTGCCACTTTTTTGGAAAATTTCTGTTACTTTCTTTCTAGTATCCAAATTTGAGCTTTAGTCAAATTTGCCATTTTTGGTAATTTTATGTTTTCCACGATTATCTCGTGTTTAACAAAGAATTAACCCAGTTTATTATTTCATAGTCAGATTAGTGTTTTGATTATTTTATAAGATTTCGGAGAAAATTTCTCTTATTTGAGTGTTCTGTATTATTGGTATTCTTATACTAAGCAAAATTATAGACTAGTTTTTGTTAATGTTGTTGCATGAATTCTGTCTTACATGCTTCCCTGTGTCATAAAGGCATACCCTTATTGTGAAAATTTGCTGATCTAATTTCACATTCCTGACTTGGCAGGTGAGAAATTTGTTATTAACTGGAAGCCTGTTTTGTGGACCGCTGTTTCTCACATTCTGCTTTCTTAATACTGTTGCAATTGCATACAGTGCCACTGCAGCACTGCCGTTGGGTACAATTGTGGTGATATTTCTCATATGGACTCTAGTGACATCTCCTTTGCTGGTATTGGGCGGGATTGCAGGAAAGAACAGCAAGGCTGAGTTTCAAGCTCCTGTTCGCACCACAAAATATCCTAGAGAGATCCCACCATTGCCTTGGTATCGTGGAACTTTGCCTCAGATGGCCATGGCTGGGTTTCTGCCTTTCAGCGCGATCTATATTGAACTTTATTACATATTTGCTAGTGTTTGGGGTCACAGGATTTACACCATATACAGCATCTTATTTATAGTGTTTGTCATTCTGCTGCTTGTTACTGCTTTTATTACCGTGGCATTGACATACTTCCAACTTGCTGCTGAAGATCATCAATGGTGGTGGAGGTACGTATTCTCATTTGGGTTTTGTTATTTCTGCGTCATGCTTAACTGACAAGTAGTAGAATTTATATATTGTATTGTATTGTATTGCTTCTCTTTAATGTGGTTTCCAGTTTCTTTATTATTTTATTTTATTTTTATGTTTCTTTTTTGGCTTTTCTTCTTTTGCATGGTGGCGAAACATGCATACAAAGTGTAGCAAGAGTCATTCTAGTCTCATGTCTTCCCTCCTGATATCCTGCTATTGAATTTTCTTCTCTTTGATTTGACCTCATGGAATTTGTTTGGTGTCTGAGCCTTCTAATTAAATATGGTCTTGGGTAGGTTTAGATTCTGTCATTTTCTTCCTAAAGGCAAAGCAGTTTGGAGATCGACTGAATGGAAGTATTTGTTATGTATGGTTTATTTACATCAAATGATGTTATTTCAGCATCATCTTTGGATTTCCAATCAAACAATGGATATGTTAGACGCCATGGTGTTTATGAGTTCATGATCAGGTTGAGAGGTAATAGGTATATAATAACCTGAATACCAAAATTATCGACTTTGGAATTGTTCACGGCCAGAGATGAGTTAAATGGCATCTAGTATTATCGATGAGAAGAATCAACCCTCAACTGAGAATCATGAGAAGCGGTATAAATGAGTATGGGTTTAATGCAGTAGTGGTATTTTAAATAATAGTTCATATAGCTGTACGTGGCCTTGAATTGGCGGAGTATTGAGTCCTTAGTTGCATTCTGATATTAATTGTGCAAACATATAACCTTCTTTTTCTTCCAGAAATCTGCTGGTTTGTTATTTTGACAAATAACAGTTGGTAAAACTGTCAGTCTGTTTTATTTTAACAGTCAGATTCGAAATGTATCTGCATGTAGTTTTGTATATGGACTATATGATTATTCCGTTAAAGAATGAATAATATCATCAGATATAGGAGTTGTTTAAAGCACCAACTCATACATTGATTACTTTTAACAGGTCTTTCCTTTGTGGTGGATCAACTGGCTTGTTCATCTGTGGTTATTGCTTATACTACTATTATGCCCGATCAGATATGTCAGGTTTTATGCAAACCTCCTTTTTCTTTGGGTACATGGCTTGCATCTGCTATGGTTTCTTTCTCATGCTTGGGACTGTTGGTTTCCGTGCCGCTTTGTTCTTTATCCGTCACATATACCACTCAATCAAGTGCGAGTAGTGACTTTGATGGGAGTCTTCTCTGTTCGACAGGTATGTTTCCTCTAAGTTCCTTATGGGGTTCTATTCTCAAAAAAATATATTGATGGCTTAGCATCCCTGATTTAAGTTGGGGTACTGGTTCAGAATTGTCTTCAAGTTGGGTTGCTTATGGTGGCTGGAACGGTTGCACAATTCATGGCTTACAGACCTTGGATGGCGTGTTTGATCTTGGTGCCCTCTGTAGATGGGATCTCTAAAAGGAAGCTTGTATCAAGTACGATAAAAGGCGTTGTGGAAGTGGAAAATGTTCGTCTTTTTGCATTGACAACTGAATATTCAATATTAGTATACTAGTTTAGATTTTTTTTTTTTTAATAGTTTATCTTTTGGTTTCTTTGTACGTATTACAATCAAGGGTATATCTATTGCAATGTTCTGTTTTCTTTTTCACCATTGGACTTGCAATAGTGTCTTTAACTTTTGGTTCAAGTAACATGGTTATAAAATGTTTAGATATCCCGAAAGCAAACAGTGCATTAGACCTCTGTTCGTGTTCTCATTAGGTTGGATGATATTCCGTGTGTTGGAGTGGTGTTACAGCTGTTGGGAGACGAAATCACTAATGTGTTTTGCGGCAGTCTACTTATGAAAACACAGATCAAAATTGAAAGAGAGATCTCAGTTGAATTGGTTGAAGATGGATTATGTAAAGCCCTGAGAACGATGGGATGTTAATGCATTGGATTTCACCTAGACATGATCATCAATGGTGAGCAATAGGTCTTGCATGGCCTGGTGGAAGACGAAAGCTGTTGCAGCTGTCATTGCCTTTCCTACTGTTTGAAGGATCTATTAGAACATGAATCGAAGGGAATTTAGTTAAATTCATGGATTTATGAGTGTGTTTTTAGTAGGAATGTTGATAATGATAATGAACTCGCCAAACCAGCTATAGAAGGTGCTTCATCCTGGCTATTTAAAGCATGAAAAATACAGGGAGAAGAAGGTATGAAGGAAATTGTGATGGAAGGAACATTTTAAAAAAAAGACGGCAGGAAGAAGAGAAGTGGTAGTACCTTTCCAATGAGTGGTCTCTCTTAAGCTCCCAAAGGCCTTTCATAATGAAAACAATACTTGAGTGAGCTAAAAAAAATATACAGAGAGATCTGGAGGATTTGCCCCAAACCACCCCCCACCCCCCTTTTTCCTAAATTTTTTTTTAAACGGGAGAGAAATCCAATAATGATGAGCCAAAACGGCATTTACAAAAGAGTCCATGCTTACAAGTAGAGTTTATCCTAATCAAAGAAAAAATGAGCAAATAAACACATAAGCAAAGCTAAAATAGTATCAAAGACATGATCATACGCAATCCTAACCTGTATTGCAAAGCAGAAGCGATCATAAGAGATCAGCACTAGGGCTAGTTGGAGATACCACAAAAGCTTCACTCCAGAGAGGGTAAGCTAACAGATCACACCCATGGAGCCTAAACAAACAGTAACACAGAATAAAATTAGAAAAAAAAACTTAAAGAAAACCAAAGCTAAGATTGGGGAAGAATCAGATCTAGTGAAAGGATGGTCACAGCATGGTGGTGGTGGTGGTGGTGTCGGCAACGAGAATAGGTGATGGGCGGCATATCCGTTGGTCTCATGGTTGTGGCGGCACGGAACAGTGAAAGGCAGCGGAGAAGTGACAGATTGAGCTTCGATTGGGAGGTGGAGGAGAAGAAAACGCAAAGAAATTTTCACCCTAGGGGAAGTAGCACCTCACAGGGAGGGAGAGAGTGGGAAGAAATCTCCCAAGAGTTATTTTGCAGAAAAGTAAAAGAAAAAAGGAAGAAGAGGAGAGAGGCGGCCGGAGAGAGGCCGGAGGCCCCCTCCCCCCCTAAATTGGACCATGGAAATAAGTGTACATTGTTGAAAGGGGAAAAAAAATGCAAGAGATATACACAGTAACATAGTATTCGAAATTTGTATTGTCTGTAGTGTTTCTTGTATTACTCTAAAATGACGTCGATATGGGGAAACATTAGAAAAATAAATAAATAAATAATTCTCGAGTCACCTCAGTCCGCCCATCTCCGACAACCCTCACCAATTCCAGCCGCCTCCGCCCTTCCTCTTTCTCTTCTTTCTTCTTTTTCCACCTCATCTTTGCCATCACAAACCTTATAAGAGGAGGAAGAAGTGGCTGTGCGGCTGGGAAAGGGGTGTGTTGGTGGTGCGAGGGAGGGGGAAGAGGGGGGTGTTGTGATGGTGGGGTTGGGGGTGGGGTTGAAGTTGAAGTTGACTGTGTCTGAACTCAAAGACTATGCGACTAATTTGGACAAATTGAAGTCTGGGCTATTGATGTTGTCTCTTGAAGATAATCAGAAACATGAGTCCCATAAAGAAGACGAGAAGAGGCAGTGGGTAAGTGTGGAAATCATCCTGATGATGGGGTTGAATTGACATTTGATGAGGAGTTGATGTCTAATATTATTGAAGACGAGTATTATCTTGATGTTCATTCTGAATTAGGCAAAGAGGAAGAAGAATGAAGAATGGAAAGAGATGGTACGAGAGGAGTTGGTCGACGACACACAACTGTTGAGTGCAGGTTAACAAATTTATGTTGTGTTACGGTTATTTTGTTTATTCCATATATTTTTTTAAATCATGTAATAATTGATCAAGCTTTTCAATATAAGGTTTTTGTAGACCTATTTTACGGACTGTCTCTAATGAAATCCATGTGCAACGGAACAAGGAACTTTGAAGGCAGGAGGTTGGATATTTGGTTATGTTTACCTGTCTGAAAAGATGTCATGGCAACTCAAACAAAACAAAACACGTTCTTTTGTTTGATTGATTGCAAATTTTATTATTTTGTTTGGTTAGGGCAAAAACTTTAAACAAAAAGATTAGGGAAACTGATAAGACTTTGTTTGAGAACACACACTCTCTCTCTCTCTCCCCTTGAAAAAGATTAGGGCAACCGTCAGGTCTAGATCAAGGGACAATGGGTTTCCTACTCACTTGAAGAATCTGCTCCCAAACTTCCCAAACAAAACTGGGATATGCTTCACCTCAGAACATAAACAATGTCTAATCCTCTTCAACACTGCTAACAATTACATTTACACTCCTGAAAAAATTCAAATCGAGCCTATAAAGGCTTTTTACTATTTTTATTATGGAATTATGATGGAGTTATGGAGTATGGAATTATGATGGAGAAGTTAGAGAAGTTGAAAGCACAAAGATGGAAAAGTTGCATTGTCTATTCCGTTGGCTTCAAAGCCAATTTATAGACTACAATTTACATATACAAACAAATTATAAAGTCATCCTAGTCTACCTATCATTATTACATTGTAGAAACTTAGCATATTAATACGTCCAAAATTTTACACCTTTCTACTAAAGGCTATAAGCCTAGACTAGGCTTGGACAAAATTTCTACAAAAAAATAAAATAAATACAAGATCACAAAAGTCTTGACCATAATAAATAAAAATCTACCATTATTGGTAGTATTCTGACACTACATTTATATACACAATTATATACACTATCTATCTATCCTCCCCGATTTTCAAAGAGATAGACTGTTATAGATAAGCTTTGGCTGAGCTGATTTATCGTGTAGCGTCGGCTGAAAAGATTTGGCAGATCACTTTCCGCCTAATAATGCAGGTTGCTCCACGTGTCCTAGATAAGGTTGGAGTCGATCAGGAGACAGCTGCATTTGATAGTGGGGTCCACTATGCTTCCATCCTGTTGATGGGATTGTGATATTCTTCATCAGTCTTTGATGGAGGGGAATCCGAATCTTGGTTGTATTGCTCATTCCGGAAATGTTCTACATCATCCGCGGTCATGGCTAGTTCCAACGGAAGGTTCAAATTATTTCTCTTTTTGAGATTTATTAACATGTCAAGAACCTCATTAATTTGTGTAGGAGACCTTTGGTATGTTATGGGAAAATGGGTTACAAATAATATTCTACCATCTGTAACCGTGAATGGCAATTTTGTTGAGCCATAGATGTTGGACGCTACTTGTGAAACAGATATTAGACTGTCTATCCAATATTCTGTCAAAGAAAGTTTTTGGATATTTTCCAATCGCTCTCTCCGGTGATCTTCATCTAAATAATCATCCTCAAATTCAAAATCTTCAGTTTCTTTAAGATACCAAATCTGGTATGGTTGGAAAAAATGTTCTCGTTCTCACCAACCAACAGTGCTGGAGATCCAGAAAGTAAAATATTTGCTCTATCGGAAGCCTTTTACTATCCATGAGAGCATTGCTTTGATGATTATTGGATAATCTATCCATTGGATTGGATCTAAAATTTGAAAAATAACTTGATTAGTTATTCCCCAATCTATATCCTCAAAAAATCACATGTCATGGTTTGCCATGATGGTTATTTTGGGAATTCCATCTTTCAAATTTAATTTATCATAAGATCGTTCTAAGATTTGTCTAATCTTATCATGATGATCTTCAACTCGATTTTTGATTAACATAAAAATTTCTTTTGGAAGTAAAGTTCTTGCTTTTTCAAAAAGATAATTTCTTTTTATTTGTTCAAAAACTGGATTAGAAAACTCATCTGATATGAGGTCTAATAGCTGAAGATAATTGTTTATTTTTTCAAAATTAAAATCTTCATTCCAATTCATTTGTTTAAGGATATTGAAACAAAGATTTTGCAAATCTTTTAATTTAGCTGTTTGCTCAGCTAATTTGTTAGCCAGAACTCCCATGTGTTTTCGAAATTTCACTTTGTTGTCTACAATGTGAGTTTTCCAAACTTCATTGAGTTCTGTATATTAGTTGAAACTGGGTTAGTTCTCATTTGACAATAATTCGTTTGATAAACCGGCATAGCTGGTGCATTGTAAAAAACTTTTTTAGCTTTGGTCATGCTATCATATGATTTATAGTTTGCTCCTGAAAATCCGCAAACTTGCTGATTGGCTTCATTCTAGTCTGTGTAAATTTCAGGTTGTTTTCCTGAGAATACAACATAAACTCTTTTTTGTCTGGGATTGCTTTTTTAGCAATTGTCACCCAATCTCCTTGAGCGGGTTGTTTACCCTTATCCATTGTTTCCTCTTGGTCTAGAGGTCTTCCGTGAAAATTAAAATTACTTGTTTAGTAATTTAATTTTCTGAAACAATTCCTACTAAGATAGATAGACAGTGTATATAATTGTGTATATAAATGTAGTGTCAGAATACTACCAATAATGGTAGATTTTTATTTATTATTGTCAAGACTTTTGTGATCCTGTATTTATTTTTATTTTTTTTTGTAGAAATTTTGTCCAAGCCTAGTCTAGGCTTATAGCCTTTAGTAGAAAGGTGTTAAATTTTGGACGTATTAGTATGCTAAGTTTCTACAATGTAATAATGATAGGTAGACTAGGATGACTTTATAGTTTGTTTGTATATGTAAATTATAGTCTATAAATTGGCTTTAAAGCTAACAGAATAGGCAATGTAAATTCTCCATCTTTGTGCTTCCAACTTCTCTAACTTCTCCATCATAATTCTATACTCCATAACTCCATCATAATTCCGTAATAAAAATAGTAAAAAACACATTTCCTTATATGTAAATTGTAGTCTATAAATTGGCTTTGAAGCCAACGGAATAGACAATGTAAATTCTCCATCTTTGTGCTTCCAACTTCTTTAACTTCTCCATCATAATTCCATACTCCTTAACTCCATTATAATTCTATAATAAAAATAGTAAAAAGCTCCTTTCATTTTTGGTTGCTTTAAGTGGTATCAGAGCTTGGTGAAGAGCTTTTGAAAGCAAAATCAAGCTATGTAAGTATTCATATCTATGTATAAATTTTGACATATATATATAAGTGTGTATGGTGTGGTTTATGTTATAAAAAATAAAAATAAATAAAAATAAAATATCAAAGTTTTTGTATCCTTTGTATTTTATATCTGCATAATTATTTATTTCATTTATAGTTGTTGTAAAACCTATATGCTTAGTATATGTCGAAACCCATATACTCATTAAGATCTTTTGACTATTGGCTATAATCAAGTCTTTAAGATCATAAAGAGAGGTTTTAGGCACCGGATAAATACACTAGGAGGGTCTTAGGCACCAACAACAATCTATAATGACAATTAACCCTAAAGATATAATATGCTTTGAAAATACAAAAAATAATGTTAATAATAAATATGATCATAGTTTGCATATTACTAAAGAGTCTGCAAATATAAATAGTGTGTATTCTAATTTAAATAATATTGTGGGGGTTGGTCTTGTTTCTCACCTGTGTCAGTGTGGATTGGAGCCCCAAGCTCAGATGTTTGCCTTTGGTGTTAGGGGTTGCTTTGGACTGAAATTCCCCTTAGCTGGAGTTTTGTTCCTCTATTTTTTGATGTAATGTTATTTTCTGGTTTTTTCTTTTTGCTCGTTGGTTTCTCACCAACTTGGAGGTTGGAGCTTGTTTCAGCTCCAAGCTCCTCTTTATTGATGTAATTCTTGTTTAATTCATCAATAAAGACTTCGTTTGCCGATCAAAAAAAAAAAAAAATTTAAATAATATTACTGATATTATGTGCTCTTGGTTTTCTAAATTAGATAAAAATAAAAAAATAAATCAGAATTATGTAAAAACCAAAGTTGAGTCTATAGAATCTAAAATAGACAATTTGGGTTCTATAATAAATATTGACTTAAATAAAGATGCAAAAAACCAAATAAACAATTTGGTGACAAAATTAGAAACTATATCCTTCATAAATAATGATGGAATGAATAGTTCAAGAGATAGTTACATTCCTAGGCTATTTTATGGTACAAAAGATATTATGGTACTTCAAACCAATACCTATAATAGGATTGAATATGAAAATATTGTTGAAATATTGAATTATTGGAGAAAATTGTATAAAGACCCAGATTTAGATATTGATGAAAGAAATAGGCTACTAGATCAGATAAGAGAAACTTATCTAGAACATGAAACCCTTTTACAACACTTTAATTATGATGTTAATATGTCAACTAATGATGATGATAATCAATCATCCTCATCTAAAGAAACATTAGATCAAGATATTTCAACAGAAATAAATAAAGGGAAAAGAAAGGCAGAAGAGCCAATTGATCCCGAATTATTTGGCACATGAGGAGAAGGAGAATTTTGACTTTACTCAAACAAATGAAGTTAAAAATGATACTAATATTGGAAGTACCTCCAATCCTACACCTGAGCCAATAATATCTAGAAAAGATAATAATCATAAGTATCCAATAGCTCAAAATGGTACATATTTAGATTTGTCTCATGTTTTATTTAAGGATCAAGAACAAGCAATTAATGATTGGGCACAATTCTTGTCCATCATTATTACCAATTATAAAAATAGTTGGTTAAAGAAAAAATTTCTTAATTATATTGCAGCAACTCTCTAAGGAGATGTGTTGCAATGGTTAAAACAATGAAAAAAATCTGAAATTGAAAAAAGTCAAAAAACGATTTTGTTAACAAATTTTCTCACACTTGATACAATTTTAACTGAATTTGCAAAAATCATAAAAGAAAATTTATATAATTTTACAAGAGATACTAATTTGCAAACAAATGCAAATTATATTTTGATTAAATTAGAATTATGTAATATTTGTCTTTTTGAAGACTATGTTCAAACTTTTAAAAAATATTATTACCTTATTGATCTACCGGCAAACCAACCTTAGTTAGATCAATTTTTTCATAAACTCCCTAATCCATGGATTGAGTTATGTATTAAAACATATTCTTGGCATAATTCGGGTAGCATTCACCCCTCATTCAACAATTTGAACACACATTGGCCACATTTGAACTTAATCATGCCATCATCATATTTATTTCCCTTCTAACCGAAACCACGTTTCATCGGGACATTATTACCATCTATTGTGTATGGATTTTTAATTGTAGATTTAAATAGAAGCTTTTTTCCCTCTTTTTCTCTTTTCCCTTACAAATCCAAGTTCCAAACGGTTCACCCTGTTATGGAGACTGATAGTGAAAAAACCCAAAATCATCTCAAGAACCTCCATGAAAGACTCCAATTTCACTTGAGCTCTTGCTACATTGAAACAAAATAAAATTACAAAACGGGGGGAAAAAACTACTAACACTAATATACTTGTAAATAAATTGGTGAGATGTGAAAAAAGCAACAAAAAAGAAAAAAGAAAAAAAAGAGGAATTGTTTCCACGTAACAGCTGGATGAATTTTAGTACAAGCTCCCTCAAAAGTCCTACTGTTCTACATGGTCCTCTTTCGTCAGGGAATGTCATCCCTGCATTTGTAAGACATACCAGTAAAACCTGGAAGGCCAACAAAACGACCCCACACACTACTCGCATTTGATTGAGCGGTATATATGACGGACAAAGAACAGAGCTGCACGGAAACCTACAGTTCCGAGCATCAGAAAGAAACCATAGCATATGCAAGCCATGTACCCAAAGAAGAATGAGGTTTGCATGAAACCAGACATATCTGACCGTGCATAGTAGTAGTACAAGCAGTAGGCGTAGATGAATAAACCGGTCGATCCACCACAAAGGAAAGACCTGATATGAACAAAGCAAGCATAGATATGTCAGTGCTCCAATAAGCACAAAAGAATCCACCAAAATTGATAATTTCCTGCCACGATATCATGCAATGCTTTTGCTCCACCAAAATGCAATTATAATAATAATAATAATA